CACCCTGTGACAGGCCACCCCTGCAGTGGACCCTCCTTCCTGGTCACCCTGTGACAGGCCACCCCTGCAGAGGACCCTCCTTCCTGACCACCCTGTGACAGGCCACCCCTGCAGAGGACCCCTCCTCCTGGCATTCTGGTGACGGGCAGGAGGGGAGGCTTTCCTCGCTGGCAAAGCTTTCTGCCAGAACCTGCTGTCCTGGCCACACAGGATGCTTCTCCAAGGCCCGGCAGGACAGGGACTGAGCCAGGAAGGAGAGCCGCAGAGAGGAGAGGAGAGGAGAACACGCACACAGACAGGTGTCCTCGACTGCCAGAGCCCCGGGAGACCCCACTGCTCAGAGCAGGGGGCAACTCCTGAGAGGAGGTGGGATGCAGGACAGGTCAGCCGCCCTTCCCCAGGGGACACAGGAAGGTGCACTATCCTCCCCCAGAGCCTCCGGGACTGACCCTGGGTGCCATGTGTGCGGGAGGAGACAGGTTGAGACAGGACAGCAGCCAGCCCCTGAGCAGCCCCCTCACTGGCTCCTAAAAGGGGAAGAAGAGGGGGTTGCCCCGCCCTCAGGTGACTGGGAGAATGGGAATCCAATCAGTCCTGAGCGGGATGAAGGGGGCAGAAGAGATCAGGGTGGCTGGGGAGGGCGTGGCAGGAGAGCAGACGGGGACACAGCACCTTCCCGGGTCCTTAGGGAAAACACTGTCGATGCTGGTCTCCATTCCAGAGCCAGTTTGAACAGCTCCGGTTTTGAGGGCACTAAGAAAATGCCTGCCAGGGACACTTCTCCCTGTTGCAGAGCCGCGGGACGGGCAAGGGTGCGGCTGGCACAGCCCAGAGGGGGAACCGGCCAGAGCTCCCAGCATGCAGCACTTGTTCCCGGTCTCCCAGAAAACTGCTCTCTGTGTGCCGATGCACAGGGACAGAAGTGGCCTCACACCAAAGCCCGGGACAGGGGGATGCTGTCTCCAAGCCGGGCAGAGCACACTTGCTCCCAATGGCCCATCGCTGCCCTGGGGCCCTGCCGGGATCTGCTCTGAGCTGGCTGGCTCCATGGGGCACTGATCAGAACACGCTGTCTGTCCCGCGCAGCTGGGCAGGGCATAATGACCCTCTGGTCAGCTCTGATGGCATGATGTGACTGCCATTTCCAAAGCAGGGCTCCCAGGAAGCTGGTACCCCTCCTGGCCAGAGGGTGGCCAGGTTGGGCTCAGCCTGAACAGAGCAGGCGTTGGCTGGTCACCTGCGCCTCCAGCTCCTGGGTCCTGCCAGCTAGCCCCTCTCCTTCCCCTGGGTTCACACTGGAGAAAGTGGGGAGATGACTTAGGGAGGGTCGGAAGGCTGATGCCTGTGCATTATGTCAACCATTTTGATACAAATCTAGGTAGAGTCGAAGGCACAGTCAGGACAGAGCTGCTAGAGGACAGTGCGAGCCCCTGGCCAGCAGCCCGGCCTTCAGGGGCCGGAGGCACTTTGCACACGGACCAGGAGTGAGGAGCTATGGTCTTGCACCAGACCCTGGGCTCCTGTTGTCGCTCCTGCTTCCCGTATTCCCACTTTGTGTAAAGTGAGGACTTGGGACTCGAGAATCCGTACACCCCAGCAGGCCCCCTGGGCGCCGGTCCCCTCGGCACCCCACACGTCCGGCCTCCTCTGCCGGCACAAGGGGCGAGCGGAAGGGGCACTTGCTCTGGGCTGTGGCCTGCGTGCTGGCCGAGGCACAAGCTGGCAGCAGCCACACTGAGGCGACATGAGCTTTCAGGGCTGCCCTGCTGAGCCTCTGCCGAGCTCAGGGCACACTCTGCCCACCGTCTGATGGCACACACCACACATCCTAATGAAAACCCAAGCAGAGGACAGACGGACACTCAGGGTGTGAGGCCCAGGTCTCACAGGTGCCATGCCCATGGCAGGTGCCGAGGTGGCCCTGCCCTCCTGGTTTCCATACCCAGCGCCTTACCTACCACCCGTGGCCCGGGACTGTGCTTTACCTGGTGGATGTGCCAGGAATGGGACGCCCTGTGTCCACCAGCACACACCAGCAGTACCCCGTGGATGGGTGGCACTGAACCGGCTTGTAGAGGCCCCCATGGGCACACTCGGGGATCACCACGTTGTCATTCTTGGGCTGCCTGGCTTCCTCCAGGGCGGACTGGTGCTCCTGGTCACAGGAGGACACTGTGGAGGAGAAGCAAGGGAGAGATGGTGAGCAGGGCTGAGGAGCTGGCCAGACCAGAGCTGGCCCCAAGGCATAGCTGGAAGGGCAGGAAGCGGGGCTCGGAGAGGGCTGTGGACATGCCAGGGGGCCCAGAGGAGGCTGAGCAGCAGAGGGTGCAGCCCCTGACCTGCAGCAGTGGACAGGGAAGCTCCCAGGCAGCACCGCTGCCTTGCACATGTCCTGAGTGAACAATGCCACGTCCTCCCCGGTGCATGGGAGGCCAGGACTGAGGAGGGACACGGATCTCTCCAGGCCTCAGCCACAGCCCGGAGGCTGCCAAGTGTCCGCAGCTCGGGGTGGGGCCAACCCCAGGGGACTGCCCACATTCCCAGCATGCCATTCTTCTCGGTTCAGAGCTCCCTGAGGTATCAGAAGATTATCCACTTTTCCCCCAGAGCCCCCTTGAGATCCAGCCTCGGGAGGACAGGTTCTCAATGTTCACAGTGTGGTCACCCCCGAATAATGAGCTCAACTGTGGTGCTCCTTAAATAGCTATGTCATTGGCAGCCAGTAGGCAGCAGTGGTGTCGGGAACCTGTGCTTAGTCCTGTGTGCCCGGCATGAGCCATGTGAGTTCTGAAAGTCACACAGGTGTTAAACAAGGACAGGTAAAGTCCCCGAGGCCTGCGTTCAGTGTGCAAAGGCTCAGCCCACCTCCAGCGCAGCCAGCTCCTCCTGGGCTCAACTCGTCTGACCTGCATCCCTCTGTTTACCACCACACACGTGTGTGCTCCTGACTGGCCCACACCTGAGCTCCAGCCAGCGGGCCTCTAGGGACCAAGGCCCACCCTGACTGACTGTGGCCACCGCAGGATCACCACAGAATTGTCAGTAGTCTCCACTCAGGCTGCAAGACACACTGGCAAGGTGCAGCAGCATCTCTCCCCCAAACGGGACGGGTCTTCCATAGCCTGTGCTTTACGCCCACAGGAAGAGGCGCCGACTCCAGTTCCAGGTTGTAGCAGTGTGAGCGTGGTCACACGGGAAGCCTCAGGAAGCTGCTGCAGGGCCCTCGCTCCAGCCCCGCCCAGCCAGAGGCAGCAGGTGCAGTGCACCACATGGACACCCCTGACACGGGTGACTGTCACACCGGACCCAGGGGACTGTCCTGAGGCTCAGGGAGACCACGGAGCAAGCTGTGGCATATGGATCATGTTCCACCAGTGTTCACTGTCACGTTTTTTATTTTTCTAATGCTGAAATAATACCTGTGTAGACAAGGCACACAACTTGTTCTGAGATAAAAATCATAGTTAGGGTGTGCAAAGGTAGACAAGACCCAGACTCTGCCTTCACCAGTGGTTCCCCTTACAATGGCGTGATCACATGGATGGTTTTGTGATCACCATCTACTAACTGTATCCCCAAATGGCGTCATTAGATTCTCAAAGCCTAGGGTTTGTGTGCATTCACTGGAAGAGAATGAGAAAGTCTTCTTATTTCCCCTTAGGCTTCTCTTCAGAAGGTGCGACAGTGATTTCCTTGCAGTGGCCGCCGCTGGCAGGCGTGGCTGAGGAAGATGGAACCACGCGTGGGTCTCTCCAGACCGACTGCTGCAGGAGGCCTCAGAGGAAAGGGATCGCTCAAATCTCAAAGTTGGTGCTTAAAACTGGTTTGTAACCAGAAAAGAGGGAAGAAATGTAAGTCTCCTGTTTCTGCACATTTGAGTGTGACTGCAGCTCAGCAAACGCACAGACACATAAACAGAGAAATCTGCCACAAGTTACGTGGCTGTCTTGAAGAGGCACTGCCCAACGGTGACTGGGAAACAGGCAAGACATAAAAAAGACGATTCCACAGAACTGTCTTTCCAAATTGCTATGGAATTTACTTTAAGACCCCGTGAAGAAACCAAGGAAGATGGGTTGAACTCTATGTTTTTGGAGGCAACAGATCACTGCTCTGTGGAAGTCCTCTCCCTGGAAGGAAGTCCTCCCTGTGGAAGGAAGTCCTCTCTGTGGAAGGAAGTCCTCTCTGTGGAAGGAAGTCCTCTCTGTGGAAGGAAGTCCTTGTGGAAGGAAGTCCTCCCTGTGGAAGGAAGTCCTCCCTGTGGAAGGAAGTCCTCCCTGTGGAAGGAAGTCCTTCTGTGGAATTAAGTCCTCCCTGTGGAAGGAAGTCCTCTCTGTGGAAGGAAGTCCTCCCTGTGGAAGGAAGTCCTCCCTGTGGAAGGAAGTCCTCTCTGTGGAAGGAAGTCCTTGTGGAAGGAAGTCCTCCCTGTGGAAAGAAGTCCTTCTGTGGAAGGAAGTCCTTCTGTGGAATTAAGTCCTCCCTGTAGAAGGAAGTCCTCCCTGTGGAAGGAAGTCCTGTCTGTGATAGGAAGTCCTATCTGTGGAAGGAAGTCCTCTCTGTGGAAGGAAGTCCTATCTGTGGAAGGAAGTCCTCTGTGGAAGGAAGTCCTCTCTGTGGAAGGAAGTCCTCTCTGTGGAAGGAAGTCCTTGTGGAAGGAAGTCCTCTGTGGAAGGAAGTCCTCTCTGTGGAATTAAGTCCTCTCTGTGGAAGGAAGTC